CAGTGATAGACGGGGCCCGTTCAGTTACAACTCGCTCTCGGTTAACACCAAGACGAGCGTAGTTAATACCAACGTTGGTCTCGTCCCGCTCTGAAAAAAGGAAAGGGAAAAAGTTTAGCTCAGATATGTTGGCACAGCATAAAAAAGCAAAGCGAGAGAAGAAAAAGAGGTAGTTAAAAGCCTCGGCCCCAGCCGAAGAAGCTTACCATCCTTAAACTTTCGGCTGAGGCCAACAGCTGCTAGCATATTCTCTTGGAAAACGTAATGCGTATCGGGGAGCCAAGTCTCCGGGATATGCTGCATTCGACCACTCCCCCCCGGGTTCGGCAGCTTGCCGAAGATATGTTGCTGATCCAGGTTCGGATCCGCCCCGTTATCTGCGGGGGGACCTAGACTTCCCATTTCGGGATCAGGCTCAGCTAAGTACCGGGGAGCGCTGAAGACGCAAGGGTGGCCCGGATCTGTGGGTGCCCTAACCCAAATCCATTGACCTCTCCAGTCCTTGTCTGAAGAGTCATTTGGCCACATGGTCAAGTATTGGGGCCGGGACTCAATCCGATACCACCCAGAACCATGGCTTCCGTGCCCACTCTGAATATTTGGCACTAGCCGATGGAGCTTTCTGAAGCAGTGCAGGTTCGGCACGTATTTGAAGAACTTGCAGACCCATAAGTATGTCATCACCCTTCGGATGCTGGTGGGGGTTAGCTGACATAGGGAAATGTTGTAATGGATCAGCAAGTCTCGGACGAAAACGTCCAAAGGGAACCTCAGCCCATACTGAAGCTGTCTCGTGTACACCCCCACATACCCCGGGGGTGGACGATGGATTCTATCGGATGCTGAGGGCATTCGGCACCAATATCCATCAGCTTCAAAAATGCCGTAGTGCAACTCAATCTGCTCGGCAAATCGATATTGATCGGCGTTCTCTACCCACCATGAGTAGGGGCGGTTCTTTATCATGGCCGAAGCGACTTCGGCATTCTCCCACTCTGAAAACCCAGGGAGGATATCCCAAAGGACAGCGGGAATTTCATCATCCCGTCCAGAAGCACTCGGCTCATCCGTTCTTTGAGGAGGAGCCGAGGAAAGGGGATTCGCCCTAATCCCTTCAGCAGGGTCAGACTCCGGCCTTTGACCATTCCAGGTCCCAATCCTGTTCCTAGGATCGGGAATCAGCCTTGCTCTTCTTGGAGCACGGGCTCTACCTCTAACTCCTCTTGCCATGGATTATTTCGAAGAGAAAAGTCGAAAGAAAAGGGGAAGGAGTTCGAATTCGAAGAAAAATAAACTGAAATCAAAGGAATTTACCTTAATCTGAAGCGAAAGTTGCCGATTTACGAGTTCGTAGTGGCAAGTCTCAGTTTCTAAGCTCAATGCTCGGGGAATTTGCGAAGTTTTGATGCGGGTTCTTGGTTTCTCTCTCGAAGAATTCTGGGTTCGTGTTGGTGAATAAGTGAGGAGAATGACGCGCCTCTGTTTATATCTCCAGGTACGGGATACGAAGAGTCTGTGCTTTAATTTCTCTTAAGTACCCACTAAGTAACCATTAAACACATGTCTTGTGATTAAACTGCCCATTATCCGTCCAACTTCCGCAAATCATTAACCGTTGTTATCTCATTAATTACGGTTTAAATTCAAATTTTTGGATCAATTAAATCATTTACTTCCCTCCTTTTCTGAGTTAAATCAAACCCGACCCGTCATTCTTCCAAATCGGGTCTGGGGGGCAAGTTGTTTGGGTCCAATTTAGTCAAAATTGGGCCGGAGCACTAAATGATCCAATTAAAAGCCCAAGGTCAAGGTTCAACTCTCCAATTGCTCAAAAGTCAAAAGTCAGCCCACAAAGTAAGCCAATTGGGCTAAAGCCCAACCTCTCCAAGTATGACAAGGTATAAAAGCCATCATATTAACACATTCAAGGGGACATCACATATACATTGATATTCCATTTCATATGCTCATTCTTGCATTCAGGAATATTCCACAAAAGCCTCAAGCTACAAACTCTCTTGCATAGTGTCTTCCTTTTACACATTGTACTGACTTTAGCATCGGAGGGGCCTTCCTCGGAAACACCCCCGAGACTAGTTTACGTGTGTTCACTGTGCAGGAAACCTTCGGCCCAACACAACTTGGACCGAATCCAGTCTTCTCCACTTCAGCGGACCTTCGGCAAGGTCCCATTGTTTTCAACCGAAACACACAATAAGATAGATATACAAGTATTTCTTAAAATCATGTCATATCCTTGATTACAATCTATATAGACGGTAAGTAAAAATCAAAATACGGCAAAAAAAAAAAAAAAAAAAAAAATGTAGAAGTAAATCATACCAATTTCAATGCCAACATTTTGATCATGCCTATGAGGATCATCATCATACTCGTAAGTGGTGGTATTATGACCTCTAGGGTGATCCATTATTGTGTTTTTTTTAGCAGTTTTTGTTTTAGAGATACAAATCAAATTGGGAAACAATGGAGAATTTAGCGAGCAACTTCAAAAGAAGACCAAGACCTTACTAATAAGGGTATGAAAAGGAAAGGTAGTAAAGAAGGAAGTTTGATTGGATTTGTGTAATTATACATTCAGCAGAATAAGACAATGCCACATTGCATGGTGTTGGCGCTATAGCTAAGAGACACGTAAGTGTATGAACCAACACGTCCTTGCTTGGTTAACGGTGATTTCACAAAAGAAAAGCTGATGCTATTGAGTTTGCCCTTTTACGTGGCGGTTACAACATGGATATTACAAGTACTCGTATTAATTTTTTTAACGACATTCAACTAATTAGGATAAGGTATGCTTTAATTCGTGATTGTGATTGTGATTGTCGGTCTCAAGTAATTTATTCAAGATTACCAACTTACATACTTCTCAAGTTCCCAGTATATAAGATAATAAGAGAATAATTTTTTTACTTTTTTTGTAAAACAATATTGTCTAGGACTCTAGGACAATAAACTCAAAAGATCGAGCCATTTATTGTGGAAACAAGGATAATTGTGTTGAATAATTGTGGAAATCCATCAAGGAAAGTACCTTTCATCGCATACTTTTGTAATTAGGTAAAGAGTAAGGGGTTTGAGGAAGATATAGAGTTATAAAGATAGTTATTGTTACTCTAGTGTTTAGAGAGGCAATAAAGAGGTGTATACGGCATACCATTACCCCAAATAATAATAATTGTTACCCAAATCTTTTAAACAAGCATTTAGTAAAATGGTAAGTACAATTAAATCTGCTTCAACCAAAAAACATCTTTATCAAATATGCTCTTATTTTTATTTGTCTTCCAATACATCACTAATGGGAATGAACTAGATAAAGTGTTTACAATCGAGCGTTTGGACCCTTGGTTCAGTTGGTTGTGCCATGCGTTTTTGCCTATACGATGGTAATAAGGCTGCAAGTTAGGCACATAAAGGGTGTTGCACAAGCGAACATCTAATTTAAGAAATGACATTCATGCTTATTGACAATGAATGATGCCCTATTTTCCGTAATCCTAACTTCGATAAGCAGACGATTTGCTACTCTTCTAGTTAGAGAAGGACCGTGTCATCCACGTTCAGACAAGAAAACTCATTTTAATGGGCTACAGACGCTACACGAGCCCTTAATAATTCAATCTTATCAAGTGCAAGGGAGGAGCTGACTATTGCGCTTGTGTTAACAGGATACAAACACAAGCGAGGTTAAATTTAGTGGATTAGGGATGGATGCTTTAGAATGAGTATTATGTTGCCAAGGTTTTGTTTTTTGAATGCTAAGTCGATAGTGTCTCAATTGAAAATGACACGAAACTATGTAGCACAATATGGGCACGGACACAGGGGCCATGGGCCATGTCTGGGTCACATTTTTTTTCTGTTAGCACATAGGCCGACATAACAGAACACAACTAAATTAATATACGAAGTAAGTGAAAATATACTGATACGACAATACGTGGACTTGGGTTGTGTCTAAGACACTAAGCTATGCTTTTGTAAACTTGGCATGATACAACATGATATGTAGTTGATGGATTTGGTTGCATCGCTGTCAAAAACCGATCTGACGAAACCAATCCGAAATAAATCACATTCAGATTTTGACTTGTATTGGTCGACACAATGATTTAACAGGACTTTTATTTAAATACTTTGTACTAAATAGAGCCGATCCGACCACACCAAACTAAGGATGGCAATATTAAGTGGATATACGCTAACCCGCTCCACCCGCTTTAAATAAATGGACGAAAAACCCGAATTAAATGGATGAGAAGCGAGTGACGGATGAAGCGGGTGATGGATGGATCAAATGTGGATGATACTTTACTTCACCCGCTAACCATCCACCCACCCGTTTAACATATATTAAATTCTTTATCTAAGAATTTTAATATTAAAATATGAAATGTGCAAGAAAATTACTTTTTTTTTGTTGCAAATTAATTTTTCATAATATGTTGTTATTGTTTCTTTTTTTTTATTAATAAAATAAAACCATTATTGTATAAATAACCGAAAATGAGAGTTTATGTGAGTTTTATTTTCTATTTTTTATTTATTTCACTCTAATATTCATCCATTAGTCATCCTGTGTCATCCGTGGATGATGGACGGACGGATATGGATGATGGGTGAAACAGGTGACGAATGGATGAGGATGAAGTGAATGGATTGATGCCGGTAAAGCTCCACCCAATCCGATTCCGATCCATTGCCATCTCTACATCAATACCAAAACTTAAATAAACCTGGTCCACAATAATTTTATTGTGAACCCGGTATTATCACGTGACTAGCTTTGTCTCCAACATCTTACTATTGCTTCTTCCTGCCTTCCACTATTCCCACCCAAAACGCATGCTCTTGATTTCTTTTCCCAAAAAAACGCAGCTACACACTTTCTCTCTCTTCCGACCTCCGTTCTTCCATTTTCTCTCTCTACAAAATCAGCACCGATTTTTCTGTAAAATTGCTCGAATTATTCTTCAATGGCAAGAACTAGAGGTGGTGGTACAGTTCAACCGAGAAGAGGCCTTCGTTCTTCAGCTACTCGACCACTTTCTGGTATAATTGTTGTTTATCATTTGATTTCTGCAATTTTGAGGTTATTCATTGTTGTTTTTCTTTAATTTAAACTATTTGCATGATTTTTGTTTGAATTTTGTTTCGTATTGAAGATTATTGAAGATCTAGGATTTTTTGATTTTTTTTTCATGATTTGTACTGTATTTCTGCAATTTTGAGGTTATTCATTGTTGTTTTTCTTTGATTTAAACTATTTGCATGATTTTTGTTGTAATTTTGTTTCGTATTGAAGATCTAGGGTTTTTCGATTTTTTTTCATGATTTGCACTGTATTTCTGCAATTTTGAGGTTATTCATTGTTGTTTTTCTTTAATTTAAACTATTTGCATGATTTTTGTTTGAATTTTGATTCGTATTGAAGATTATTGAAGATCTAGGGTTTTTTGATTTTTTTTTTTATGATTTTTCGAAGGTAATGTTTCAGATATTGTGTTTAGTTTGACATAAAAGAGAGCTGTTGAATAATGTTAATTCAATGTGTGTAGCTCTTTGCTCAACTCAATTTTATGTATAGCAACGATTTGAATAGAGAAGGCGAGATTCATATTGACGTATTCTGGAAGTGATGGTTTGCTTGAGGGTTTGTTTTCAGCATTCTGTATAGTTATTTAATTGCACAATTTCATACATATACTACAATTTAGTCAATAATGTTGAGCCACCTCGAGTGTGAATGCACCCGAACCTCACAGCTTTCTATATGTAAAGATATATATACAATGGATGCATACTTTCTAAATGTAAAGATGCACCATCCTTTTCTGACTCAACTAGAGCTGGAGATTAGGGAGGAGTTAAGTTAACTACTAAGTAATCGAAATTCTTAGTTGTGTACTTGCATAAAAGGAATGTAAGTTGTGCACTCTGCTTGCTGCCTATTCTGCAGTCCAATTGGGCTTCTGGCCAAAATTAGTATCCTGGCATATGCTAACAAATTAAACCCATGCATCAAGAAATTTACACCTAAAACATTTTTCTTATATATCTATGAAGTGAACATGAGAGGAACAAATCCTATGAGTATTCGGAATCAGATTCTAGAAACGATTATGGTCTTTTGCTGAAGATCACACAACAAATAATCTCAGCATTGAACCAGCACAAGGTTGTACACTTGTACTTGTGCCCGTGCCATTTATGGAAGAATAGTACAAATCCCCCTTAGTTTGCACTTTTAAACCTTGAGGTCCTTGCCCATCTTTATTTGATATTCATTTGGTTTTGACAAACGAGATTTGTTGGTGTATTTGACTCATGAAGTATCATGTTGACAAACTATGGGGGCAGGTTGCAACATACAACTTTAATGTGCTATTCCCCCACCCCACCCCACCCCCAGCATAAAGGTATTGAGATGGAGGAACAATATTGGTCTATGGCTATGTACTTGGATTTGTTCCTGTTTGTGATTCTCCCCAGCAGTTACAACTTGTGATGATCTTTCAGATTAGTCTTGCACGTGTTTGATAAGTGTTTGCTGACTTAGCTCGATAATTGATGAATTTTGTACAAGTTCTGATGATCCTTCAGATTAGTAGTCAACTACAAAAGTTTTTGTTTGTAATAATGATGATTTTCTGAAATTTGGATTTTGCCTTTTTCCAACGATGTTTACATATGCATTGCTAATAATTATTTAGTTAAGTAACTTCAAGCACCACAAAGTATATGTGAGTTTTTGTGTCAATGAATGTTTCGCTTGGTGTAACTTCTTGTTGAGAATTTGGCCAATTAATTGGTGATTGCTCTAGTGTAGTTTGAGGTGCTATGAGAACTCTTTGTAGATTTTGTTTGATCATTTGTGTCATATCTTTTGAGCTATATTACTCTTTGTTCCGAGAGAGCAAGATCCTTTTTTAGGCAAAATCATTGTTAATTTGTGATTATTAGTGATGGAGTCTGTTAATTTGTGAATGGAGTCTGTTAGTTTGGTAGTCTAACCTGCATAAGCTTCTTGACCCATGCTTTTTGGCAATGGTTATGAAAGTCGAGTACCAGGATTACATCTAGCTTCTCCTTAATGGCAATCATCGTAGGTCACTATATGTTAAAATAAAGTAACTATTTTATTAATAATGTTACTATTATAAATATAAAGGACTATGTGTTCATTAATGTTAAAAAATTGACAATACAAGGGTATGAAATAAAGATTACTATTTAGGAATAAAGATCGCTATATTATGAAAAAAGGTTATTATTCTAAAAAATTTAGCTAACAAAATTAAAGATTACTACATTAATCATAAAAGAAACTATATCATAATAATCAGTATTTAAAAGCCACTTCATTTGTTCTCTTAATCTCGATCTCGAGTTCTTTTCTAATGAAATCCCTCTTAGTTCTTTTTTTATATATTTAAATAAGAGTATAAGCAGCAGAGAAGTAACAATGACCTATGTTAGATATTTAGTACATTTAGTGCATATATCATTTTCAGTGTAAACTCATGTACGTTGTTTGTGAGTAGGTTAGTAGGTTCAGAATTTGTATTTTATTCACTGCTTAATTTGTATATTGTTCGATTACTTTCAGAATTTGTGTACTCAATGATGATCTCTGTCTCTGCTGTGTCTCTGCTATTTGAATTAATATTGCTGGATTTTTGAGTTTGGATACTTTGGTTACTGGCCTGCATTATGTAATTTGCAATGTTTCTGTTTTTTATGGTTTATTTATGTGATTCTCTAGTCTTAAATTTTCTGGTCATTATTGTTTCAGAAAGGTCACTATAATTTACATTTTGATTTCTTTTGTATCATAATGGTGCCAAAGGCTTGAAGAAGAAAACTAAATCTAACAAGAAAAAGAATATTGCTATTGAAGAGGTTCATGAAGGTGCTCTTGAGCATCAAGTTTCTGCAATTATATCACCATTATCTCGTCGTAAGAGAACTCATGATGAAGCTGAAGTTGAACCTGCTGCTCTTGTTCGTCCTAAGAAGCCAAGGACTAGAACGAAGAAACCAATAGTTGAAGCTACTGAATCTGGTGGTGATGTGCCTACGTAAGTAACTTAGCTATGAAAAAGAACAAGTCGACTTTTGGTGTTCAAGCATGCATGATTTCCTACTCTAATGTGAAATTTGGAAAGCCTACCAACAATAGTGCTTTGTTAGATTCTATAATATGCCCTGTTACCAACAATATTGCTTTGTTAAATTCTATAATCTGCCCTTGAATGCATTGAGCTTACAGTATTTGTGAACTTCTCTCTCTAATACTTCATTATCATCGTACATATTATGTGAAAAATTAGCTTCTCTTTTTTTTGGAAATTTTTTTGTCAGACTGCATTGATTTTTTGATTTGTTAACTTGATGTTGATTTAATGTTGATAGCATTATTATTTCTATTTTGCTGAATGCGGCCATTTAAAACTAAATGTAGGCCTTTGCATTTGGTTGACATGATGTCTAACTTTACTCTTGATCAAAAAAATTCTGTAAATGAAATTGGTTTTGGAGGGTTGTTATCATTGAAGTTGAAAAGGAATCCTACTAGTATGTACAGGTGGCTAATTGATTCTTTTGACTTTGGTAGCTGCATGTTTTCAATTGGTAATAATAAGGAGTTTGTGGTGAATGAGTATGATGTGTATGACGTGTTTTTCCTTCCTTTGAACCCCAAAAATGTTGAGGAGATACCTAGATCTGCTAATAAAAATAATCCAGACTTTGTTTTCAAACATAATTGGAGATTGCATTTTGGGTTAACAGATGAAAATGATCAAATTCCACTTAATTTGTTAGAAGCTAGGATACCTACTTTAGGCCAAGGTGGAGATGAGTTTAAGCAACTCTTTGTTATGCATGCTATATCCACGTTTTTAGCTCCTACTTCTAACAGAACTGCCGATCTTAGGATCGTCAAGGCACTTGATGATGTTGAACAAATTAAGAATTTGAATTGGTGTAAATATGTTCTTGAAAAACTATGTGAAGGTGTTAAAAGTTACAAAAAAGGAGAAATTCAGAACTGTTGTGGTTGTGTTTTGATGTTGGAGATTATTTACTTTCATAGGTTGAAATTTAGGAATGTTGAATTAAGTACTTCTTTACCCTTAATTCAACATTGGAATGATGAGTTGATTAGGGATAGAATTAAGAAGGAAAAATTGTCTAAAAGTTTTGGGTGTGGGATTTTACTGTCTGATGTGTATCCTGTTAGTGGTAAAATGAAGTTTCTGGATGGACATGTTGTGGGTATTGCAGGGGGAAGTATGGGGAATGCTGGGGGGAGTGATAATGTTGTGAGGAATGTCGGGAGGAGTGGTGATGTGCCTGATTCCCAGGGTACAATACAGTTCATTCTCCCGGCAGGTTCGATGTCAGATCAAGAGATCCATTCGGCTGCTATTGATGTAAGGAGTAGCTGACTTTTATTCTATATTATTATTTTTATTATTTGATATGATTTAAATGTTTATACATGTTTCTTTTAATGTTTTTGCAGCCCGTTCATGAGCAATTTTTGTTCATGAAAAGAGATATGCATGTGATCTCTTCTTTTTACAATGATAAGATAAGAGAGATTCTTCTTTCACGTGGTGAGGCCAACAACTCTTCTGGCTCTTCTGGTATTAATTTGTCCCAGGATGATTCGTTTCTTATGGATCCTCGAGTTCAATCTGTGATTGACGAGATCTCTGAACTTGCTATTTGGGTGACAAAATTACCTGAGGTGTTGGGTCAAATTTCTACATTTGACCACAACAAAACAAATGGAGGGAGGGAGGCAATTAGAGGCACTATCCCTGTGATTGGCTTTGAAAATATTCTTGCAAATGGAGGGTCCAGGTGTTCGTTTTCTTTGGATTGGAAATCTGATGAAAAGCTTATATTCATTTCACACTTTTTGAAGTCAAATAACAAGGAAATAAAACTATTGGATCCATTAGTCCTAGAGATTGTTGACTATTGCATTATCAATTATTCTTGTTTGGCTCCTAAGTAAGTAATCTTTTGTTTGATTACATTGATTTTCTCTTATTAATTTATTTATGAAACACCTTTTTAATTCTTATACTCTTTGACTCAGTGAACTGTTGGTATTTTTTCACCAAAAGCATTTGATTTTGTGCTATTGAACTCATAAAAATCCTCATTCCTTCTCCAAGTCTTCACTGTCTTTTGAAATATGTCGTAGAAATCTGTCAAACTTGTCTTCTTGTTTGCTTTAAATCCCACTGCATGATTTTTTCTCTCACTTCTCTGTGACGACAAGATTCCCGCGGAAAAAAAGTCCTTACTTTGAGTTGTTGACCACTTATGCTTTAGTGAGTATAACCTCTTGAACCAACTGTTGTTTTTCAGCTTGTACTTTGTCATCATTGAATCCCAACATACTTCAAATTGAGCTTCGTTTATACAACCACTCAAGCATTTTGTGAAAGCGGCTTTGAATGTGTCATCACTCTTCAAAATTCCAAATCTTGTTACAGCATTTTGAATCAAATTCCATAGACATAGTCTATGTCTAGTGTTTGGAAATACCTGTACATTTTGATACAGTTACTATGGTTTCATAAATGGTTACTACATTTAAAATAGAGGTAACTAAATATAATTCCAGTACAAACATATTTAGATGTAGTAGTAACTAATTACCTTGGGTATTGCTGCTGCCATGGCTGCATCTTGGTCTGTAAATAGTGAGACAGGACATTTACCACCCATTGCCTTTTTGAAGGTTTCAAATAGCCACACAAATGACTCTATGGTCTCATCACCAATAAAAGAACAAGCAAACATAGTGTTCTTCCAATGGTTGTTTATTCCTACAAAGGGTGCGCAAATGAGGTTGTAACGATTCGTCCTATATGTGGTGTCAAAAACAGTGACATCCCCATATATTTTGTAATCTTCAAGCATCATAGAATCCCTCCAAAACAAGTTACAAACCCTTCCATCTGCATCCAACCTTACTCTGAAAAAGAAGTTAGGGTCTTCAGAATAAGCTTCCTGTAATTTGTCACAAACTACTTGAGAATCTCCTGCTTCAATGGCCTTTATTTTCAGCTTATAACAATAATTCATGTGGTCTTTCACTGTATGACCAATAGCATCTTCTCCTCCAGCTTCATTTGACATGTAATTAAAGGATTCCATAGGTCTTAGTCCAGATTCTTGCATGGCCTCAATCACTTGCCCTTTAATTTCAGTCATTGCACGCTCTGAACGGTGGAAATGGTTCCATTGTGGTCTAGTGAGTGGATGATTGTGCACCAACACATGCTGAACTATCTCAAATTGCCCCTCCTCATTCAATTTGGCTACTATCAAAGCATTACAATTTTTCTTGTTATAGGAACTCTCCTACTTTGTCTTGTTTTTTTTTTTAACAAAGAACTTTCCTCTGTCAAGAGTTCTGGAATTTTTTCCTTCTTTTTACCAGAATTCCTCAGTCCAGCTGCAGAGCATACAAAGAACTTTTTGGTGATAATATCTTTAGTTCCGGTTTTGCTTGTCTGTTTTGCTTTTCTAACACTAAAACCAACTACAGCAGCATGTTGACAATACAATTCATGTATTTCTGCAAGTGTTGCTCGAGTTTCTCCTACTAACCAACCACTAATCTCTTCATTATTATTTTCACCTGTTATTTATTTACACCATCCATAATTATCATTTATATAAGTCAAATTGGGTATATTACAATAGCACTCTAAAGTCTACAGTACAACAGACATATCAGAAAAGCACTCTAAGATAGATCACTATACTATTAGTAAAGGCAACTATATTACTTAAAACTGGCTTTGCATGTCTCTAACTACTGTGAACCTAATTATTTTCAATCAATATAAATTACGTACTACTGTTGCAATTATACGAATTAATACCTAAATACCTAATTTGATTTTCCAAACAAACAATTGTAATTGCATAATTGCTTAATACCTTGAGCTTGCATTACATGTTGATTTTCCTGCTGAACTTCATTCTCATCCTCAGCTTCAATAATAGCTTGTTCTACATCTTCAATAGCGTCATCTTCTTGAATGGGATGATGATACAAGCTTCCTGCTATTTGACAAATCAAACAATGATCAGATCAATAACTATGCACAGTTTGATCAATCAAATAGATTATTAATAATTCTTACCTTCATAGTTGCTTTCAATTTGAGCTTCATCGTTCAGATCGAAATTGATGACATTAATATCGAACTTTTCTACGGTGTCCTGTATATTTCGATTTATATCAAATTCAAGTGAATGTATAGAAGAATTTTCCATGAATTTTGCAGAAATTGATTGATTATGGAGAAATTATTAACCCTAGAATTGATGAATGTATAGAATTGATTAGAAGGAGAGAGGAAAAACTTCGAGCTCGGCGTAGATGATGAAGTTGCAGAGGAACATAATTCATCGATTTTTTTACGGGAGTGTGTGGGCTGGGAAAGAAAATCACGTGATATTTTTTAGGTCCACAATAAGTTTATTGTGGACCAGGTCCACCCAAGATTTTTTGCTACACCAAACCCTGCCCCGGACACCTCGAATTTTGACACATCTGTTGCAAGCAGTCCAGCAAGAGCCATTTTGAAAGTTTGGAAAAAGGAAAACGAAAAAAAAAATAGCGCGCTATTGACATTGTCCACACCTCACCTTGTACTTAAATCTTGAAAATTCAAAATACTCTCACTCACATTCATCATCTCTGCAGACTCTGCTACAAACGGTTTCACTCTACTCCTCCATTACACCAAAGCAGAAGCAATCTGCAGAAAATGCGAACTCGATTTCTCACTCCCGACTACTTCATCTCCGATCAAACCCTAAAATTCCTTCGTCTTCCTCTCTCTCCTCTACCTTCTCCTCCCAAATCACTCTCATCTTCCGATGAATTTCTTCGTTGCTGCTCCACTTCTTCCGCCATTTCCGTTTCTCACCAGCTCCAAAACCTTCCGATCGACGGTGCTCTCTCCAAATTCTACTCCGATGTTCTTCCTCACACTATCGACACTTTTAATGGCGATTTGTCGTTCAATTCCGGAAGTAGTTATGACGATGTTCAAATTCCGAAGGTAATTTTGAATTTCTATCCATTTTTTACTTTTTCTCGTCAATTTTGTGTTCGCCTGTTATTTTTGAAATATGACAGGTGAATTGAGGGTTTCAGTGTGTTATCTATAGTTTTGTTTATCTCGAATTGTTTCTGGAGCTTAATACGGAAGACAGATGTGAGATTGTACGTTTTGATTTGATTTTTGGAGGTTGTTTTGATTTTCTAGAAGTTTTGAGCTCTGGTTGGTGAGTTTTAGGGTTTCTGACGAATTTTCATGTTATGTTGGATTTTAAGCTATTTTTGGTAGCAATGATGAATTTGTGCTTCAATAATCTCTATTATTTGGTTAGAAGTAGGATTTATTTACTCAGCAGATGATCTCGTCTCAATTAGCCTTTCTAATGATCATTTAAGAGAATTATGAAGTTTTTGGCACTGAGAGCTTAGTGTTTGGAGAAAACATGATCATTGTAAGGTTACCACATATAAATTAAAAGATATATCATCTTTAAAGAGTTCTATAATATGTGTGAGATTTCTGTGGTGCAATGTTGAAATTCTGTCCTATTATCTTGAAATCAGGCGTTTCCTTCCTGTTTTATGGAATCTAAGAAACTACCTATTAATGCTTTCCTATAATGGCAATGTGTATCATAAAAGTGAAGGGTGACCGAGTCACTATCTTCTTTGATTAATCATGTTTAGATATTTCTAACTCGTAAGTTTGATGCATGCTGTCTTAAAGTGCCAGGACTGCCAGCTGGTAAGTACTGGTCTACAATACTGGTTTTTGAAATTGTTTTGAGTTGTGATGCTAGACTGTATGTCTGTATTATTATCCAAAAATCACTGGTGGCCATTATAGATGAATATCCTTGTCAAAGAAGTAAATTCCATGCTTGATTAAACATTCTGTTTCACTTAAGCAGATAGACTGTTTGTTAGTCATGCTCATATCTGGCTCTGGCTTAGTTTTAGCATGATGCCTACTAAATATGCGGGACAACAAAACTTTAGTTTGTATATATATTTTTTTTAATTGTGTAGTGTACCTATAAAACATACAAATCGTGTTCAAGAGGCAAAATGAAATGAAATTCATGCACTCATCATATCTTCTGTTGCAGAAGGAAGCTGGCTTATATCATGAAGAAATGGAAGCTCACAGCTGTTCAGCTTCTGATTCCGTAACACTAGAGAATCAATATGCAAAGGACACTGTTGGTGAAAAGAATTACAATAAGGCTGAAATTATTCAGTTTGAAGCACCAGAACTTTCTCAATTTATGGTAAATAAACTTATCTTTTGCATTTGATGAAGAAAAATAGTTTGTAAGCCCTCTTAGTTTATTAACTACTGGGGTTTGTGTTTGTAATATTTTCAGGAGAATGTTTGCATGTACGAGAAAGAAGTTCAGTTATTGTCTGAAGTGCAAGATTGTGATGATGATTTGGTAAATGGAATAACATAGCATACTAATTGCTGCTTACACCTGCTCTGTTGAATGTGCATTAAATTGATTTTGTTCTCTGAGATGATCTTTATATGCAGATGAATGCATAACTACTGAATGGTTTTTTTACTCATGTAACACTTATAAGCTTTGTGTTACTGAAAAAAATTATATTGTTTCTGATTCAATCAAGGTCTTTGTCATTGAAAAGTAGGAAACTGTGATTGCTTTGTACAAAATTTTGTTTAAAAGTTTGACCTGACGTCCTGTCTCTCACTTAAGTTGGGTTTAAAGGTAGAGAACTACAAGAGTCTTTTATGGTAATTGCTAAGTAGCTCAAGGAGTTTTAGTTTTGGGATCAGATGATTTGGTAGCTATGATTTTTTTTTTGGAGCAAAAATATAAAATGTAACTCATCCAGTAGGATGCTGGAATATTATTTTCCCCTTTAGAAACCAGTGAGCTGCTTAAAATACCATAGGCAATTAAGATGCAATGTCAAGCCATGCATGAGGGAGCTATTGCTGTTGCTTTCCTTATTAAACGTTGTCTATAATGCACGCACAATGACCAGGGCATGTTGACTCAAAACTTGGGAGTCGAGCTGTAATTAGTTGATGTAAAGTTTAGTCCTCAACTAGATCCTTTATTGCTGATGTGTTGTTCCTTCTGATATCTGATTCATACCATAGCATAGAGATTTTTCTGATTTCAAATCTTTGTGATTAAGTTGTTTATGATACTAAGCAAATTAGGTTTGAATTTTTATATTTTTATTCTTATATTCTGATTGATGCATGCAGGGATTGCTAAATCTTGTGCCCACAGATCCATTTGGTTTTGATGTTAAAGATCCCGTGAAGTCAGTGGATTCTGTTTGTCTAGAATATGATATGACCCCAAAGCTTCCGGTACTAGATGACGTTGATCTCTTACCAGACAATATCGATCACTGTGGCACCTCCTTACCCTTGCTTGAAGTAGAAGAGGTTGGACCTGCCGATATTTCATACTTTTGCTTGGAACCTCTCTTTGCAACCATTGAAGAACAGCATTCTGCTTGTAGTGTTGACCTTGAACATAGTTGCCAAGATCTGCTTGTCTCTGTGGAAATCGATATTTTGGAGCATATTTCTGATAATCACTCATCAAAGCTCCCCCTTGAAATTTGTTTTACAAGCCTGAGTCTAGATATTGATCTCCTACAAGTTGTAGAAACTCCTTACAGAGAGGAAGACATTGGGTCGATGGATGCTGGACCTATTGCTTTTGTTGATACATTTTTATTTGAAGAATTTAAGATGCTTGATTCAGATTCCTTAGACATTTTTGAGGTGAATGCTGCATGTCAAACAACTGAAGCAACTAAATTGTGCAATATGTTCCCAGAAGACTTGCCCTTCAGAAGTTTTGATGAACTAATTGTCAATTGTGAACTAGCAATTATTGATGGCACTTTCACATCACTCTCTGTCCCAGATCTGGTTGATGATGAAAATATTTGGTCGTTACATGTTATTTTTGATAAAATGCTCACAGAATTGGAACCAGTGCCCCTCTTCACATCAGATGAAATTTATTTGGATTGGCACCTTCTGGGAAGGGACGAATGCAATGGAGATGTAAATGCTGCTATTGAGAAGCTGTTCAGTGACATTGATGATTATACAATGGGTTCATGTTTGAAATCTGATGATGGTAACATGGTAGTGCTTGATTTCGTTTTATCAAATGGTCCTTCAGATCGATTGAATATTAGGGAGAACAAGGTAATAATGCCATCTGGAGTGAGCTGCACAGAAAAACATCTGATCAATGAAGTCGTTTCAATGAAGTCACCAGATGAAGACTGCCAAATCATAGAAAATATTGGGAATCTTACTAATGCTGATTTTGAGAACATTTCATCCGGCAAGTTGTCTGATGATGATTGTCAAATCATAGAAAATGTTGGAATTTGTGATGGTGATTTGCATAAGGTAGATTCATCCGTCGAGTCAATGCCTCAGTTTAATGATCTGGATTTTTTCTTAAATCCTACAAGTGCTACTGGTGGTATGAGAACTGGTAACAAACTCAAGCCATTAGATGCAAAATCTGTGCTTTCTGCTAGGGGTCAGAAGAAAGAAACAGCCAGTGCAAGCAGCATTCATATGCAGCAGTTTGATGCCTGTGAAGGTGTCATTGCCACTTCAAGTGACAGAGATACAGCTGTGAGTCTGACCATATATGATCACTTTAGTGATTTTGTTTCCTTTGGTGGAAGTCCAATTCAGTTTGTTATTTCAATAGTTTTTGCTGTTCAGATAAGTGCATTGCTCTTCATGCTATTACGTAGGTTGTTTTGTGTATGAAGATACCCATTTCTATTCCGCACTTAGGTAACAGGATATTGCAGCTGTTTCATTGTTTTCTTATTAATGTCTGAAAGCTGAGAACTCTGTGTATGGTGATCTTGCAATTTGCAAGAGTAGATGCTGCAGGCCTGCAGCGATTCTTAAATAACCAGCTGGCGATTTTTATTATTCAAAAGTAAGGTCTGGATGCTTAGGTTAGCAAATTTAGATGGTTTTTTTTAGCCTTTGGTGAGACCTCTAGCAAGTTGGCTGTGTTATACTTCATTGATTTTCCTTGTTCTCTCTTTGTGGTTATTTTTATGTGTTACTCCTTTTTTCATTCCATTGTTACTTTTATTGACTTGTATGGAACAATTCCTAAGTCTGGCTTGGGTTAAGGGCCTTAAGGCTAAGGGTTGAAGATTCACATTGAAGAAGAGAGAGTTATTAAGAGACCCATCCAACAAATCTAGATTTAGCCGAATCCAATCCATTGGTCACCTTTTATTCTCCATAGCAATGCAATTATGCAAGTGAGGCCTTATATATCTGACCTTAAAATCCTATAGTTCTTTTGGAAAGTAACTCTTATACCACTTGAGCTTTCAGCTCTTTGGGATATAAGTAAATCTCAGGGTGGAAATCAGATAACCTATTCTTTATTTGATTGTGAATCAGATTAATTCTGTAAGATAGTTATTGGATGGGAAATAATGTTTTTATTAACTCTCTTAAAAAATGAAAATTCCACTTATTACTTTTTTATTTCTCGGCAGGCTGTGTTCTTATTTCTTAAGCTTATGTTTATGCTTAATAGTTCCCTCTTAGTGAGCTGACTGTTTTTAATTGTTACTCTAAACCACCAGAAGTTGGAAGCGCTACTGAACTATGGGCCTGTCGAGGGAAAATGCAATAAAGTGTCTTCCGGGGCTTCAGATGGTACAAATACATCCAGTTTCCCTATACCTGTTTGTAGCACAGCTCAGGAATCTGAACCAGCTCATCTCTGTGAATCTTCCCACGACATGCCTATCATTATTAACACTCAAGATTTTGATAAAGATATGATAATCTCTCGGAGAAGCACATATCAGAAGATCTTAACTATGGAGAAGAAAGGAGTACAAGTTGTAGAGAGGGATCTGATTCTACCTGTTGATATAATACTTAATTCTACAGCGTGCATAGTGTGGTATGACTGCAAGAATATTGGAAAGAAAACCACTGCTCAAGATGAGGGTGCTTCATGCGTTCCTCTCTGCATTGAGAATATAGCTGCAAATGTTCTGACATCTCTGAGTTTTGCATTCACTACCTGTGTTCTGGTAATTGACTTCATCTATGCTTAATGTATCCGGGTGCTTTTTCTTAAACTAGAGTTATCATTGTAGAAGTTGGGGGGAAAGATCATGCTATAATTTTCCGAGAGCATGGTGAATTAACTTGTTTTCATTGTGTAGTATTCTAGGCATTTGTTTAATTATTTATGTCTTGTAGCATGAAGCAATCCCTGGACACACTCAAAGGTTTTGTTATTCTTATAGACTTTATTACTTTCTCTTTGATCTGCCTCACTTGTGCTCTGACCTCTGCTTTCATATACAGGTTTTTGTGTGTTATGTGTGGTTAAATCTCTATAGTCTAGACATTTGTTTGAATGGATTAAATTATTGCTATGCTTTTCATGTTGGCTTGCTTGGTTTATTTGCAGTTCATCCATATTTTGCACTCTTTTTTTTTCTTTTTTTTTTTTTTGGGGGTTTGACTTACTAAGTATTGCAGCTTTGTATGAATTTCCTTTCTCACTGTGCTCTTTCTTTCCCCCTTAATAAAGATTTTCGAGGGAGATTGCAATTTCATTGGCCCTGTAATGGAGTCCGCAGATGAATTGTATGCAGCGGCAGCCAGTCTTGGCACGTATTTGCAGATTTTCTATTCATCATCATTTGAGCTGACAGATGAAACTATATTGAATTATATCAGACACTCCCAGAATATATATAAAGGGTTACTTTCTAGACTTCCGGATTCAGAGACACTTGCTGAATCATTTTTCACCAAGTTCCCTTCTATCAATCCACTCTCAGCACATGCAATTATTTCTAGTGGATGCATTCTCTTGGAGTTCCTTGAGTTGACAGTTGAAGGGAGGATCCAAATACTCAGAAAAAATCATGTGCCGGAGGAATGTATCTATCTTTTTAGTTTCTTGTGCAAATTCGGGGAGCGGGAGGAATCCAAGTCTGGACTAACTGACTGTTCATCCTCTGTATCATCTCCTCCTGATTCAGGAAAATTTGTCTGCAACATCAACTCAGATGATAGAAAAAGGAAATTTAATGCAAGCTCTTGTGATGCTATGTATGACTTCAGATGTTCTATGCCATCCAAACACTATGCAGATGATGAAACGACTGATCAGGGTTTGTTAAGGCCATCTGATCCTAAGGTGTCACAAAGTCCCAGAATATGTCTGCAGCAGAAAATGCCTGATTTCTTGTTGGATAGTGAACTGTTTCATGAAGGAGAAGCAGCTGATGCTGCCACAAACATGGGTCCTTCTAAAGCATGGTGTGAAACATATATCACCGGGGAACCAAAAATTCGCCGTAAGGATGATGGTTTTGCTCGATCTAGCTTAATTGTAAATGAAGGATTCTCCAGTCAACAGAAATCAAGTAGGATAAAAAGCAAACGAGAACAGAGTGCAAGGGACATACTTCAGGATTTGCATGAAGATTTTGTTGGTGAAGTTGTTAACTTTTATGACAAATCTTTATTTGACGGGGACTTTCAAATAGATGAGAAAACTCTAAAGTCCTCTCCAATGGCCTCTGAGATTGTAAAAGACCATGCTCCTAGATATAATAGGACAGCTAGAAGATTATCATTTGGTAACAGTCCTGACCGGAATGTAACGACAGCTGATGTGATGGATACTAGGTGTATCTTAGAAGATAGTAGACAGTTGAGGGACATTAATAGTTTTAATGGTGTAGAATATAACTGGAGCAATGACATATGCAAAGCTCCACAGAAGCAGCAGCAGACGGCTAAAATTACACAGGAAAAATCTATGCAAAATTTTAGTGGCCAACTCTCAAAGGGGAAAACTGTACCCCCCTATGGTGAAACACCACTCTCGAAAGCTGTTCATTCAGGAAAATTGCAACAAGGGTCACCTTGGACAATAGAGTTTCTCAACCGTATTAAGGAAAAGAGAAAATTACGTCAACAGAATCAGCCAAATGCTTCTGTTCCACGCACTGGCTATCATGGGGATATTACTAAATCCACTAAGAGAAGAAGCCCGTCCATTCTTGAATACTACAAATATCAAGGTGACAGCATGCCTAGGAAGATGGCAGGGCAGAAAATGCAAAAGCAACATGCTCAGCTGCGCAATGAGAGGTCTCAAGGATTTCGTCCAATTTGTACACCAATTGACAAGAGAGCTAGACGGGTTGGTTCTCATAATCATGGCTTTGTTCTAATATGTTTTTAATTTAAATCTTCTCAAGGTATAAATTTATGAACTGCAGAGTTTATCTTTTGCAACAAGTGGAACTGGGAGCCAAACTAAGCTTGTTTGGAGTGACAATCTCTTTTTCAGTCAGGACAGCAGGTTTTCAAGCTGAGTATAATATAGCTGGAGAGTTGCTGATTATGGCAATGTTTTTAGGTAACATCATTTTATAATCATAAGCAAAAAATCACTGGTTGGTTTTTTTTTTTTTTTTTTTTCCTTTTTATTAAATTAGAGTTACAGAAAGTAATCATTGAGCAGATTAGTTATTGTATGTGGATAGCTCTATCTTAAACTTGTACTAACCACCATTGATTGCAAGAGTTCTTCGTGCATGTCAGGATATATGTTATACTTTGTGTTTTCATTTGTAAGTTGTTATATCCCATATTATCTGCTTACAATGGTTCAGGTTTTCAACACTGCAGCTGAATGTTTGACAAAGAGACAGTTTTATTTTCAGTTAATCAGTTTTTGAATTATCTACTTTAGATGGGTAGGAATAGGAGTCTGGGTAGAACGCAAGTTTGATTAGATCTGTATCTGCATAAAAGTGTATGGTGGCATACATGTATGTTATTTTTGTGTTACTAACAACATCCATGCAGTGTTACCTTAATTTATGTTTACAACGACATGCATTGATGCCTTTTCCAATTAAATTTGTGCCTGACCTTAATTCTTGGAAACATTAGGCAACATGTTTTTTTTTTTTTTTTTTTGGTTTCAGGTGTGTACTTATAGAAGAAATTCTGATGTCATGTACAGTAATTACAAGCACAGATTAACTAGCATTACGTAATGGTGAAAGTTCAGTAGAAAAATTCTGCTCTAGCTTTTTTCTAAATTACATTTCTTATATAAACTCTAAATCTTATGCTTGCAAAATATATGATAAATTTTGAATTAAATGATTGAAGATAGCCGTGAACTCCACCTTCTCAAGGTGTGGTAGAAAAGGATGGAACATCAGAACTATATCAGTCATTAGACAGAGATTTGGCCTTTCCAAGAAGCTTAATCACCATTTAATATAATAGAAAAATATTAAACTTTACATTTGACTAAAGAATTTCAATAATGAATGTGGTCTTGCTTCTTGGTGCACAATCTGGATCATCATATCTATCAATTGTTTCTCTTCATTTTCTAACCTACATTCTCTCTGGTATAATAATTTATTTCTTTTGACTATTCCTTAAGTTGCGTATGGTCATTACAAGCTGTTGCCTTTCACCTTCAACCTCTGCAAACTTTAGGCTCACTTCTGAATACTTATCTTGCATTTCTCTGAGGTCATCTTCCATTATTTTGTTCTTCTCCTTCAGTGATGTAACTTCTGTCAGTAGATCACTGGTTTCAGAATCTGTGGCTTTCTTCTCCGAGCATGTTTCTCTTCTGCATTTGGAACGATAATTTTCTAGCTTAAGCAAAAAGCCTATATCACTCAAAAAGTAGATCAAAGGGAGTGTGAGTTAGAAGAGTTTGTTTACTACACCTTTCTCCTAATGCTCTGCTGGCCCCGTTTTGCAATGACCTGCCTGGAGTTACTGACTGCTGTGTTTTTTTCCCCATGTGTTTTCTTTCATCCACCCTGCTACCACTGTCCGCAGATATTCCAGAGGATTTGACTGCCTGTGGATTGACATAGTGTAATTGTTAAGCTCACATTCAAGAGTATGGATGGGTGATACTCTGTCTCACTTAAGAAGTCTGAAATTGGTTTTGTAAGCATGTTAAGGCAATGACAAAAAAGTTAACTAGTGAAATGACTTTCTGTTGTGAGGATGACTTTTCAAATTGAGGGGGTAAATTGAGACTCTTAATGTGGGACAAATAAAGTATAAGTCATTCTCTTTGGAAATCCTTAGAATACTCTGTTCATAAATATCTTAAGTGCTATAAGAAAACAACATACATGTAAACTGTGGTCTCATCATCTCATGGGGTTACAATAATTGGCGCTTCTAGTGTACTTACGAAGAATTTCTCTAGGTGAATGTAACATTGCAATTATGATTAAGCTAACAACAGGTAGAGATTTGCCTTCATATCATAGCAACTTGATACTGGAGATGTCATTCTGATGGGGCATGGGTGTGGGATATAGCTGAATTAGTGGATTGAGTTTCTGATTCAGTTGGGCCAATTAAGTGGTGTGGAGACTGGAGACCCATGGTATCATACCTTACTCTAGGTGCACTTTCTATAAGTTATGGTGCATAGGGGCTTTCAAAGGGTAAAATCATTTGTATCTGAGCATGTCTGTCCATTTTTAAGAATTCTGAGTGTCATCTAGCGGTAAAGTTTTAGTTTTGAAATAATGAACTAAATCTATGATATGGGTAAACAGAAATATTTTCACTAATAATAAAAATTTGTGTAAATATCCCCCATTCCCCCCAATACCTATTTGTGGACAGGAACCACGTGCCAGGAAATCATTTGTTAATATATGGGATTCAACTCCTTACACATATCTTACATTTTAGATTTGGTGCATTATGATATTTGCTTTTGAGCTAGCTCATTTCAAGGAGATGTTCAGGGTGATTGAACCAGGGAAAGGGTTTTCACATCTCCTTGCCTTTATGTGAAGGAGAAAGTTGAAATTGAGCTACAGAATATCTTTGTACCTTTTTTTGCTCTCCCTTTCTACATACTTTTACTAATGGACTATTATGCAATGCCTTGAAATTGATATGGCTTCAAGCAGTGTTGTTTCTAGCTAAAAAGATGTGGGTTTTAATTTTTTGCTTTTCTAGATTTTTTTTTTTCTCTGTATTATAAGACACATAATGCTTATTCTGCAGGAATTATGGTTTAGCTCTTTAATTAGGAAGCCATGTTTTTCTGAAACTGAAATAAAGTATCAGTATCGACATGCACTATTATTACTCAACCTATAAGAGTATTATTTCTAGGGCAGAAAGGGTGCAGGGATAGGGTTTAAGATGTTGGCACAACCTTACTTTTCCTATGGTATATGACCCTATTTTAATGCCATTGATTAGATTTCATAATATTGCTGTGAACTATGCAATGTATGGTCACAACACACTTCTAAATGTTGATTAGGCCTATAAAAAGTTAAGAAATATCACCTTGAGCTGCTTTACTTTCTCTTTAAGAGCAGATACTTCTTTGGAGCTGCTGTCCTTATACTTCTCTAAATGGGCTATCTCATGGTCCTTCTTCTGTAGATTTTCCCTCTGCCTGGTGAGTTGCTTTCTGAGGTTCTCATTCTCCAACTTCATTTCAGACAATTGGTTTTTCAAGTCATTGTGCTGAACTTGGAGCTTTTCTAATTCTGCTTGCGCTTCAGCCATAGCACTACCTTCCTTTTCTTTTAAGGAACTTAGGATTTTTATCTCCTCTTCCCCTCTTTTAATTTCTGTCATCGCCAAGGTATATTTAGTCTCTAGCTCTTCCATATCTCTCTTTATTTCCTGATGAGACTTCTTTGTCTCATCCACTAGTGTTGTCGTTTCTTCTAACTTCTTTGTGGAGTAATAATTTTCTTCTGTAAGCCTTTCTACTTCCATTCTGAGTGCTTGATTCTCCTTTGACAAGGCTTCACATCTGTCTTCTACTTTCTTTTTAATACTTTCAAGCTCCACAATCTTACTTTTGTGTGCAAGTAGTAGTTGCTCTTGTTCGTTCTCTTTCTCTTTCAACTGTCCTGAAAGCGTTTCCACCTCAGCTTTACGTCGATTTTGGACTAGCTCAAGCTCCTTGGTAGCTTTCTCGAGATGTTCTTCAAGAGTGCTAATATGAATGTGTAGTTCCCTGGCCTCAGCTTCTGCTGTTGCAGTCAACTCTTCATTTTCCTTAAACTTTTTTTCCAATTCTTCAGAAAGTTCTCGGAACTCCTCTTGTATCTTCTGTGCTGTAGCAACATTTTCTAGTTTTGTTCTTCTCAAGGTGTCCTCTGCTTGCAGAGCTCTTTGCTCGAGCTCAACATTGGCATCGTTAACTGCTTTGATCTCATCTTCAAATTCTGCCTCCTGCTTTTCCAATTCATACTTCAAATTGTTTACTTGGGTTTCAAGGTCATGCATTGTATCTGAAGATCCACAGAATTCTTCTGCTTGCTTTTTTATCACCTTCTCCAACCTTGCTATCTGAGATTCAAGCTCTTCCACATTTCGCATATTTTGTGTGCACTCTCTTTCTTTCTTAATCAATTCTAGCTGCTTTTGGTTAAACTTTGAAGAGAGATCATCGTTTTCCTTCTTTGCAATCTCACAATCTTGGGAAACCTTTTTAATATGCTCCTGAAGCTTTCTGTTCTCTTTCAAATTGTCCTCCAATTCACTTTGCAGGTTTGTAATCTGTTGTTGCAAATGATTTATTTCTCTAGAATCTCTGTTTGGGCTTTCTGCTTCTTCTATTTGTTTGTCACCAAACAGCTCATATTCAGAATCTGTTTTTTCAAATTCTTCTGGTTTCTTTTCACTTGTCATTTTTCTGGTAAGATTGGCTAGTTCCTTCTCTTTCTTACCTAGCTTTTCTTCAAGGTCCCTCACCACAAGAATTAATTCCGAATTTGAATCTTGTGTTTTCCTCAGCTGTGAACGAATGGCCCTGTTTAAATCCTTCACATGGCCTTCTTCACCTTCATTGTGGCGATGCCTCGACTGCTTACCCTGAGCTCCCATTTCCTTTGGATGTTCAGTGCCATTTTCTCCATTTTGCTTTGACCTGATTTTTTCAGATTCCCTTCTAAGTGCATCTCTTTCCTCTTTTAGCCTAACCACTTGCCCTGTTAATTCCTGTGCTCTTTTAGTTTCCTTCACAGCTTGCCTCCTTAATGAAAGCAGCTCAATGTCAGTTACCTCTGCCTGTCTCTTCAAAGCTAAATTCTCTCTATTGAGCTGTTCAATGAGACTTTTGGGAGGTTCTTGCTCTCTTTCTCTCAGACCATTATCACTAGTGTCCACATAGTTGATTATATCATCATCGTCATCAGTTGAACTCCAATCTAGCGTTAAGGGCTTTCTTGTTTGATGTGCCTTGTCTGCAGGACTGGGGTCTTTTGATACAGGTCTCTTTTCGTGATGTGATTGGTCACTGACATTCTCCTGCTGGGTTCTACTTTCTTTCTGTTCAAATGGAGCATTCAAGGTGTTTTCATTCCTTGTATCTTTTCTTCCTTCATTGTCTACAGAATCCATTTTGTTGTAGTACTCCTGCCACAAAAAAAGGAGGTACTTGAGTACTTAACTTTATACGAACAAGCAACGGACTTGAAAGTTCGGTCTGAAAATTTCTTTCATGCACTATAACTATATTTCGAATTGTAAGTCTAGACATCTTATGACATATAATTTAATTTTTTGTTTTTAATTATTTATTTAATACTAGTATTTAATTTGGGTGTAGAGAGCC